CAGTAGAGTACCTGGAGGTGTACAGAGGCACGCAACGCCACATCACATTCCAACGTGACGACAACGTGCTCCACCTTCACAGGGGTTTAAAGAGTAGCAGGAGGAACCGCTTTGGCATAGGGTGCGGACAGCGCCACTGAGGGTATACCAGAGGCTGGTCTCCGGAGTCGCATACTGGCAGCAGCAATGTGAGTGGAGTCTGCTTGTTGACTAAAATTGCTTCTTTTTTTTAAAACAGGGGCTGGGGTTTAGTTGTGAGGGGGGCGGGGACTTAGTTTAGAGGATGGACTGGGATTTAGTATAGAGTGGGGCCTGGGATTTAGTATAGCAGACGGGACTGGGGTTTAGTAGAGGGGGACTGGGGTTTAGAAGAGGGGGTGCTGTTTTTTATGCTGTACTTTTTAAAATAAACCTATGTTTCTATAAAAAACGGTTTGGTTTTTTTTGCGGCCCACATAAACTTAAACCTTGTTTATTTGGCCAGTGCTAGCCTTTGAGTATGACATGCTTTCACTAGAGGGACTTCGGGTCATTTGTCGACTTTTAGTCACCTAACTGATGCTGCATGTCCTCACGTTATGCATGACGACATTCAGTGTCACCCAAAACCCCATAGGAAAGCTTTATACAATGTTTTCTTATGGGGAGAGTCCTAATGCAAGCATGGCATTAGGACCTTCCTGCCTGGCTGACATGGCAGAGAAACTGAGTAGGAGCCTAAACCAGAGCCAAGGGATATCGGTGCTGGAATCAGGGAAGTGACAGTCTTTAAACCCTTCTGCACTATGGGGGAGGCAGGGCACCAGGGAGGGGGCACTAGAGGGAGCAATAGTGCCAGGAAAACAACCTTTCCTGTCACCATAATTTCCCTTTAAGCTTTCCAAATAATTCAATACAGTTAAAAAACAAAAACTTCCAAATTATTTATTAATAGTGATGTCCCGAACGGTTCGCCACGAACGGTTCGCCACGGACTCATCATTGAGTAAACTTTGACCCTGTACCTCACAGTCAGCAGACACATTCCAGCCAATCAACAGCAGACCCTCCCTCCCAGACCCTTCCACCCCCTGGACAGCATCCATTTTACATTCATTGTGAAGCTGCATTCTTAGTGAGCTGTCCAGGAGGTGGCAGGGTCTGGGAGGGAGGGTCTGCTGCTGATTGGCTGGAATGTGTCTGCTGACTGTGAGGTACAGGGTCAAAGTTTACTCAATGATGAGTCCGTGGCAAACCGTTCGCGGCGAACCGTTCGGGACATCACTATTTATTAACATAAATTCCCATTTACTTTAATGGTGACTTCTGTAGATAAAGCAGTGCAATATTAGTTTTAAAAATCACTGTTTAGTAGACATAACTCCAATGAATACACACATTTATTTTTGCATGAAATTACTATATCTAAAAAGAGCTTGCAAATGCTGCATTTCTTATAACTGCAGCCTTTGCAAGCCTCTCTTTTTTTCTGGTTTACAGGGAAATAACTGTTGAGAAGCCTCTGAAACTGTGCCTTCTGTGCTGGTCGGTAAGGATGCTGGTCTGAGGTCTGTTCTGTGAAGGAATATTAGGGGAGGAGGCAAAAAAAGAGCGTACCTACCGTTAGGAGGAAGAAAACATCCCTGGCTTTCTTACTGACAGTCATGGAGTTGCTTATGATTCTAATGATAAAAGTGCAGATTTCTCAAATAAATTAGCATTTTTATAAACTAACTTTAAAATGAGATACTTCATAGATAGAGCATTTCATCAAACCAAAGTGCTTTGTTTGTAGAGTGGTCTTTTAACACAAAATGCAAAAGTGCCAAAGACCGCACACTGCTCCTAATTATACAATATGTAAGCATATATATTATTTGTGGTTTGTTTTTGTACATAGGGGAGTATATTTGATTAAAGGACCACTATAGTGCCAGGAAAACATACTCGTTTTCCTGGCACTATAGTGCCCTGAGGGTGCCCCCACCCTCAGGGACCCCCTCCCGCCCGGCTCTGGAAAACTTACCTTTTTCCAGCGCTGGGCGGAGGGCTCTCCTCCTTCTCTCCTCCTCCGTTCCGCCCCGTCGGCTGAATGCGCACGCGCGGCAAGAGCTGCGTGCGCATTCAGCCGGTCGCATAGGAAAGCATTTACAATGCTTTCCTATGGACGCTGGCGTGCTTTCACTGTGAAAATCACAGTGAGAAGCACGCAAGCGCCTCTAGTGGCTGTCAATGAGACAGCCACTAGAGGATTAGGGGGAAGGCTTAACCCATTAATAAACATAGCATTTTCTCTGAAACTGCTATGTTTATTAAAAAATGGGTTAACCCTAGCTGGACCTGGCACCCAGACCACTTCATTAAGCTGAATTGGTCTGGGTGCCTAGAGTGATCCTTTAAGGATGCACACCACTTTAGCTTACTTCCTGTAAAACAACTTGTATTACTCTACAAAAAGTAAAACACTACATCATAGCACAAAAGAAAAAACAAAATAGTAGTGACACGGCTCACCACAACACTACACACATAGCAATATGTTAAACTGTAAGCCTACCAGAGATAAATACATGCCACAGATCATACTCCCAACATCTGGGCACCCACTAATGCCTTCTCAAACTACAAGGCTTTCATTTGAACGTTTGTACTTTAATCGTGTTGCTATTGGGGTTTAGTGTGCCTTGTCACTATTATTTAATTTTGTTCTTATGCTGTATTGTTCTACTTCTTGCTGAGCAAATAAAATAGATTTTATTGAAGTAAGATGAAGTGGTGTGCGTCTTTTTATAAAATAGAATCTTGTTTATAACACAACATTGTAAGGTCTACCTCTGCATACAAAAGTTTACTGCACTTAGGCTCAATAAAAGAAAGACACACAGTACATGCTTCAGAGACATTTAAGAATTGGTTGACTACTATAGAAAAATGCAAAGCATAATGTGTGACTTTGACTTATGAATTATGTATTATAAAGCCCTCTAGTGGTTACAATAAGGCACTTTTGACATGTTCACTTACTAATTATCAATTTTAATTTAGAAAATAGAATTAACGTCTAGAGGCATTTACTTAAATAAAAAAAAAAAAGATTACTAATCATAACATGAGAAAAAAAATTTTGAAACATAAGAATTGCATTAGAAGAAAAGAAGTTAGATGCACAGAATTTGGTCACAAGTACTATTGAGAGCAATGAACTTTGTAAATCAAACTTTTTTCTCCTACCCAGTACCCAGTAATTAAACGTATTCTTTATTCACCCGCTAGAGGCTTTTAAAATCCCCAAATATTTAACAGGTTACAGCAGTCTGGATTTCAAAGTAGATGCAGCTACACTTGAGAAAAAAATCTGGACAGCAGAATTAATTTCATATCATAGATTGGCTCCTCATAATTTAAGTATGGAAAAAAAAAATCTGGAAATAAAATTGGGCAGCCAAAAAAAAAATGCCCATTACTGTGCTGACGTTAAAGAAAAATGGCTACTGTGAAAAAAGGGAACTGAAAGGCAAAAGTCATTGGGCATTGGGCAAAAGTCCTTCTACCCTGATAGTAACCACGCATTTCCACACATCCAATCTGTAGCATCAGTGACTTTCCTTCACTATGGAAAAAACAGTGCTGTGTCAGCTTCTCCCAAGTGCATATGCGGTGGTAGAAGGCAAAGCAATAGTCCAAAAAGCAGGGCACACCCACTCTAATGAAGATTTAAATTTCATTAGTAAACCACAAAATGGAAACATCTTACTAACAAAACTGAGAATTTATTGACATCAAATGGGGTTAACAACTTAGCACTTATAACGCATAGCTTGTAAGTGATATATTTGTGTAGAGATTACGATTTACAAAAAATAAATAAATAAATAAAAGGATGCAGTCTTAAAGGAAATCTATAGCTTGTCATATTGGTTACCTGTTTGGGCTGCAATGAACTTCATATCTATAACTGTGTATTCTGAATTGTACTTTAATTAAACTTTCTTCTCCATATAGTCACACATTACAAACACCTTAACATAAAAGATTCTGCTTGTTGCACTCTCCCTCACAGCCTTAAGCCTCACAATAATAGTTGCTAATAATGCTAGGATGTGTTTCAAGAAATCAAAGGGAAAAGTGAATGGGCAATGGACGACCCACTCACCCCTTATACCCTGAGCTTTCCCACACAGCCATTCTGTAATGACTGTCCTTCGGTGTGAAAAAAAAAATCAGCTTCTCACAACTGTGGCTGTGAAGATAGCAACAATGAAAGGCATTTGGAGAAATGGGGGAGCATCAGGAGGAGTAATTTTTTTGTGTGCAGATGAGTACAGAACATTGCCAAATGCCATAACAGCGTAAATATATGCATACAGGCATGAGTGATTGCACATTTGTTTTTTGTTATATGAACAAGCTTATTAGATGAGACATACTATTTTTGCCATGAGTAGAGTAGTACACAGATGAATACTAACATGTCAGTTAGGATATAGGGATAAAGTTAAGTAACACGTGTTTGGAAAGACATGCAAAGAATAGCACACTTTTTAAGGGTATGAGAATTGTTTATGCTAGGACAACATATCTTAACAGTGATGAAGCACACAACAGATCATAAGAGAGATGTGAGTGTGAGGCAGAGCATGCTATGAATAAACATTGGAATTGACTGACATGAGCCACATGCAATATAAACTATGTTAATGTGCATGGGATTTTCTAGGCTTGAAAACGGTTTCAGCACTGCATGCAATCAAATAAAAAATAAAAATTTAAAATGAAACTCAAGCTAATAAAACATGAGTAAGGTATCGTGCTTAAATATTATATAACATCATGTTTGGCCTGCGGGTGAGTAGATAAGATATTAACAACCAACAGGTCTCTAGTGATGCCACAATTCACACATGCATGAGTAGTCAGTTAATAGCAGGAAAGTTTAAAATAACAGCAGAAAGTGATGACAGGAAAGTCAATATGTCCTCACAATAATAATGTTACCAAGCATTTAACTCAACATACATTAACTAGCAGTGTGAATACGGTGAAGCTGCTGGGACAAGTCTCTGTTCAGCCTTTACCATAATCCCGGTCCAGCTGTGTTCCGACTCCGCTGTCAAGCAGGAAATGCTGGATGGTTCCTTCACAGCCTCTGGATAACTCACAGAAATCTCCTACAATAGCATCGGCACAGCGGTACTCCCACCCTTCCACTCTTCTAGCCGGTGTGTAAGCCAGCGCCTGTACACCACCTAGCCCTCCATCTTCAGCAGTAGGACTATAGTCCTGCAGGGCTCCTGTGGCAGTCCCATAGAGTTGTGGATGGCTGATGGGCCTTGCGGCCATCTTGGCTCTTGACCCAGAAGGTGAGCTGTGTGGAGGGGCTCTGCTGGAGTTTCCAGTAGTGGAAGGTAAAGTAAGTGTTTGCTGCCTCTGTCGTGACTTAATATCGGCCCAAAAGGCAACGCATAGCTTGTCAAAAGCTGAATTGAACTCGGTTTCCCATTTAGTTGTTTTTTGCTTATGTATCATGGCTTCCATCTCATGTATGTCACAGGGCTTTATGGATTTGGGCTGTGAGAGCTTTTGTACCTATTGGTGGAGACAGACAGTCTCTGGTGGGGACCAAGATATCCCTCACCGGTCATAAGGGGCGAAGGGGGGAACAGGGCAGCAGCCGGGCAGGTTGGAATCGCTGTCGCTACCAGACTGGGAGATCGGCCGTTTCTTCCCTCCACAGGCTACCTCCAGCGTTTAGGCCGAGGATTGATTTCGGGGTATAGGTGTCATGAGTAAACTCCCTCAAACTAATGTTGTTGCTATAGGAATATATCAGGATTTGCTAGCTGCATTAGAGGAGTACTTTCAAAGTGTTTTGGTCCACCATTCCGGCCAGGCCCTGCCCCCCAGAAGGAGTAATTTTAATTAATTTATTTATTTATTTTTAATTAGCTGGCCAAACTAGGGGATGACCTGTCCCAAACTGGCATTACTGTGACTCCATAGTTATAATACAGATAAAAACACACAAATAAGTCAGCGCCAAAAACACCAATAACCAAGAAAGTTAGCAATCCTAAGAAAAGGATTCCCTCCGAACCCTTTCAAGAATGGCACATAAAAGAAAATAAAAAAGATAGGAGGGCTTCGCCATACAAATGTCAAAATAAACAATATGTAAGTCCAGTAAATGCAAGGTAGAAAAGTTCCGATTAGAGTAGTAGAATATCTCACATATGGAAAATGGCCTTCTTAGAGTATGGTGTGGAGAAATGAATCTCTAAATCCCAAGGTGTACGTTATGGCTCCAATTTTCCCAAGTGTTCACATTATATGGAGATATAAAAAGAAAAATCCAGGCCAGATGCCATTTTCTGGAGCTCCTCCAAACAACCGTGTAATCCACCAAATATCTCAAAAACAGAGGGCCATTCAGCCTCCAAAATACCAACACCGGACTCTGCTGCCCAGACCACACTTATAGATGCCCTTTGTACAGCCGCAGAAGCAGCTCAAGCGGGGCCGGAAAATCGAGGCCTACCATCCGCTGCAGATCCCTAGCCTTGAGTCATTCCTCTGTGGGAATTTTGTGGCAGGGCTGAGGAGGATCTCACCCTACAAGCCACCCGATACACAGACAATGGGTCGCAAATCGCAAAGACCCGCCACCGAGTCTGACAACAGGGACATTGGGATGATGTTACAGAAGCCCAGAAACACCCCGGCCGGAGACCATGGGAAACTGCACCCAAACCGGAACACCGGGAAACGGAGGTAACCTCACGGCCCCAACCAACACTTACAGTGCCAGCGGACCCCTCTGATGACTTGGCCCCAACGACCAGGGGAGACCTAAAGGCTCTCCTGGCTGAAATCCATAGGCTTCTGGTGGCTGATTCAGCCATATTTAAAACACAGTTACAGGCCGTAACAGAACGAGTTAAAGCTACAGAGCAGGGCATGGCGGACACCCATTCTACCATGCAAGCTGTGCAAGACTATCCACCAAAGCACCCTGACAGCAAAAATCCCAAATATGGTGGATAGACAACGCCGCGCAAACATCAAAATTAGGGGCATACCGGCAGCGGTATCCATGGAGGAGTTACCCCACTATATAAGACGCCTCCTGGCAACCGTATTACCCCCCACGCAAGCTCGCAAACTAACTGTGGACAGCCTATACCGCATTCCCAACACAACCAACACCAACTTCAACCTGAACCGGGACATTATCCTGCCCTGACACTCTTTACAGGACAAAATACACATTATGATGGCTGTGAAGGGCAAAACCCCTCTATTTGAAAATGCCACCCTGAATTTTTTCCAGGATCTTACAAAGGCGATGCTGCTATGGAGGAAAACCTACACACCGGTAACCTCCCAACTACGCAATGCACGACTACCCTACAGATGGGGGACAGACAATTCCTTAACTATCACGAAAAATGACACCACTCATGTCCTCCACACTATGGCCCGACGCAATCCCTTTCATGGAAAAACTGGGACTGCCCGTACCTTCAGAGACACAAGTGCTACCTGAGAGTGCCAAAGACCCGGCCACCATCACCCCCTTTGTCCCACGCACTAAAGGAACACCGGCTCCAACACAATGAAGCGGCGGACAGATAGCTTTAACCCCAAAATACCTAGAGAGACTACCGATATCAGAGGGGAACCTTGTACCTGGACTCATCGCAAGTGCTAGACCAGCCTTTATTTTGGTCCACCCTAAAATTATGTAGTTATTGTTATTTTCACTGTTACAACTTATTATTTAACACAACGTGTCACCCGTAATCTGATTAAGAGGAAAACACGCCTCAAACACCGCACGGAACACTTCACAGGGCGCCTACTACACCACACACACACCCTTCCACCCCCTGCAGCACCCTTGGTTAGGGGCACCACACACACACACACCGATACTGACCACCAACCTCAAACTTCATCCCTTGGGCTCTACTGGATATACAGCTAGTAGCAAGGATGGAACACATTGCTCCCACGCACCAACCACAAGGCAAAGCTACAACCCAAACTGGGAACACACACTACTTTATAAGCAGATACTTGTCACACACTTCAACTTCAAACTCCAAACACAAGTCAAATATAGTGACAAAATGTGGTACCTGGCTACAGGGCTCCTGCCTAACCGTGAACATTACCCTAAGCATGCTAGGTCTGTACATTATTGTTCCATGTTGAAAAAATTTGAAAATGTGCATATCACGAGACATGTTTAAGAATTGTATTCTGTGTTGCCTGACAATATACAAACGTTCACGGTGTATTACTCATGCACATCTAAAATAAAGAATAAAAAATAAAAAAAAATGAAAAATCCAATAGTGTAAAATTATTAACTTCTAAAACCATCATTTTAATAAAATGTTAAAATATATATTTGTTTTAAAAGGTATGTTGCTGTATAGAGACACTTTTAAAGTATATGTGATTAATTACTGTAATACGATTGGATGCTGAAATATAGCACCAATTTTAATTCGTTTTTACTATTATATAACTCTGATCTGCCTGTATGTATGTTTTACTCCATTTGAAGAAGCCATTGAGGCGAAACACGTTATGGATGTTTATTGTTTGGATTTTTAATAAAGAGATTTTTGTTAATTAATATCAGTCTATTGTACCAATTATCTCTTTCAATCTTTCATTTTATTTTTGGACATACTATCTGGCATTTATATATTGTATCCTTTTTCTTTTTTTTAATATTATTAATATTCATATTATACAAAATATGACAATGAAAATATTATTGATGTAAAACTGTATCCTATTATTCCATATGTTAGAACAAACTTATACAAACTTACACATATACAGACAACTCTATAGCTTATATATTGTATCCTTTACTCCAAAATATCTGAGGTGGGGATCATACCACCCAATCTGTTACCACAGAGCAGTGAGCCTGCTCTATCTTTGTGAGTATGTTTTTATTACCTCTTTACTCCTATGTATTTTATTGAGAACACTATTGTTGCCTTTTTATCTTCTTCTCTTTGAGCCCTGGTTCCCTATTTCATCAAGGACACTCGCACCATATCCTATAAGTGGGGATTGTACCACTGTACGCAAGATACACTAAAGCTGGCCAAGCTCTAATAAATGTGAGTTGATTACCACAGTTTTTACCTTGCTCATTATTTTAACATTTTACACTATTGGATTTTTCTTTTTATATCTCCATATGTTGTGAACACTTGGGAAAATTGGAACCATAACATACCCCTTGGGATTTAGAGAATCATTTCTCCACACCATACTCTAAGAAGGCTATTTTCCATATGTGAGATAGTCTACTACTCTAATCTGAACTTTTTTTACCTTCCATTTTCTGGACTTACATATTGCTTATTTAGACATTTGTGCAGCCCTCCTATCTTTTTTAAGCTCCATAGGTATGCCTCTTCTTGGTCTCTCGACTCTGCCCATGACCATCTCCTGTCCGCTGCTCACACCCATGTGGCCAATTCACACTTTCAGGGTGGCTCCTTTCCTTTGGAATAGCATGCCTACCACCGTTGGACTCTCCCCTAGTCTTCAATCATTTAAGAAGTGACTCAAAAACAATCTCTTCACTAATGCTTAAGGCCTACCAGAGTAACCTCTACCTCACAGACCTAAATGGCAGCACTCTACTCTCTCATCCAGCTCTGCTTCACTTCCACCTTGTTTGATTGCAATCTCTTGTCCTTTTGTGTTTTATACCCCACCTCCTCTAGTGTCACCCTACTGAACTGAGGGGATTGCGTGCACGCTCCTGGATGGTGCGACCGTGTGCCCGCACCCAGTCGGTGCGACCACGTGCCTCCTGGGTGATGGGAATCAGATGTAATAGATATGCTGTTAAGCCCACTACCTTGAAACTAAATGCTTATCATAGTCTTGGTGGTAGAAACAGCAGTGATGTAGGTATCCTAATGGTTGAGGAAGAGGTGTTCAGACTCTCAGAGGCCATGGCACCACTGGTGATGGTGAATTGGGGAAACCAACCTATTCCACTGTGACTATTGCATCTTGGGATTAGTATGTGACATTGATGATTGTGGGTTTTTGTTTTTACACTATAATTAGGATATCAACAACTTTGTATTGTGTAAACTAACAACTTTATTCAGTAAAAATATGTGATTGTGTTGCAAAATGGTTGGTACTTGGAAGGTTTACTGCTGTAACGTTATTTTGTTTGACTTTAAAAACACTGCACAGTTCACACACACTTGCACAGCACATGTTAGACTGATTACCCTCAGGAAAAAAATAAGTTTCTTTAGACAACAAATTAGCAAAAAACTTTTAAAAACTGTAAATTGGTGCTTCCAACTTGATGTTAATAAGCAGCAGCTAACAATAGGACAAACTAACCAAACCACCAGTCTTACATTAGGATAAAAGTTTTTGAATCTCTAGGATCTCATAGTTTGTGTCAATGTAAACTTGGCAATGGCTGGGCAAAAGAAATGTTTGTATTTTTGTTTTTACTGAGCAACAGAGTT